GGCCGTGATGATAGTGACAATACAATAGTGTTAGTGGCGTTGGTTTGTGACCACTATTTGACTTATGTGATCATCCACAATAGTGTTAGTGGCGGTGGTCTGTGACCACTATTTGACTTATGTGACCATCCGTGATCAAATATTTAATTGTCATCAATAAATTTGAAAATAAGTGACCTATTAATTTGTAGATTTGTGGCTACTGAAATAAACTGTGATATATAAATTTTAAGATCTGTGACCATCGAAATAAACTGTGACCTATAAAAAAAATTATTGGTGATCTCGAAATAATCCGTGACTTATAAAATTTTTAATTTTTGATCTCGAAATAATCTGTGACTAATTAATTTAATGATATGTGATCAATAAATAAATTGTGACCTAAAATTTTGTATATGTTACTATTAGTTCTATAACTGTGATCTTATTACATTTAATTAATAAAATACTTTTAATTAACAAATAATTACCTTATTTTTGCACTTTTAAATTTAGAACCTGCAAATTGAATTGGTGTAAACAATACACCTTAGTTATGAATTTTTCCTTTTGGTAAACAATATTGAAGTACATACAACACCTGTAAAATTAACTTCATCAACTTAAATCGTCACCATTGAAAGATGAAAGAAAAAATGGCATACAATTAATTGGCTAATAAAACCATTTAGAAAACAAGCAAAGTCAGGAGGAATATTTGAACGATATTATTATCCTCAATTAACGTTACAATATAATGTTATTGTATCAAATAAGATAATCACGTTAGACTTGAAATCAAAAGATTAATCCAAGCTCTACACTACTCGAAGAGAATAACTTTTTACTTTGCAAAATAAAAGACTCTCACGCAGTACTATAGCTTATACATTTTTTGCTAACCCCCATCAGCACACTCAAATGATTTCTTATAGTAGTGCTCACATCAACGAATTGCTCCTCGAGCGAATTACAACATTTCTATTTAGGGTTCTGCTGTAAGTACAACATATTGCTCACAGCTTTTTTCACACACACATACACATACAAGTGGGTGGGGTCCAGGATTAAAATAATCATGGACTCCACCTTTGTGAGGGAGTGTGAAAAATGCTGTACACATAATTTTTTTCTTCTATTTAACTCCAACCCGAACACCTCTACCCACCCTTTAAGTGGTCTGGTGTTATTTAGTACACTTAATGTTGGTACACTAAACTTCACAAAATTGAACTGAAGTTTCAATTTCATTTGATTTGATGATAAAAAATAAGGATCATGTCATAAAATTTAGCATTTACATGTTTGACTAATTTCTCATATTGACAACATTAAAGTTGTCCAATTGTGCAACTCGCAAAAATTGTATTCACATAGTTACACTGCTGCGACAAATTTTGCATTTTAAGAGTACTGTTTTCATATTTTATGTGCAAGTTTACATTGTTGTCCAATTAAGCAACAAACTAATATAACAGATGTCAACGCAGGGTTGTTGAAAATTTTGAGGCCCTAGAAGATATATTATTATGAGATCCTACACATTATCTTATTTATTTATTTATTTATTTTTGCAAGCGGATTAGCATTAAACATAGGAACATAGCCCTCGTTTGACCCCTATTCTCTTTTTCATTCTTTATCTCTATCTTATTTTTAACCATACAATCTTTCATAAAATAATATTAAACGCAAATTGAAAACTTTTCATTCTTTTTCAACAACACATTTTCAAAAAAATACTATTCCAAACATTAAAATTTGAAAAGAATGGGGGGCCATTTTTGGTACTCATTCACTATTTGATTCATTTGAGAACCATTTTCCATGTTCAAGAAATACAATTATACAATATAAACGGTTTTCGAAAATCAATGAAGTTTGGGGGTAATGACTACCATTTATTGTCCAAAATATCTCATATTTAAAAATTAAAAAGGATCAATCAAAATGAAAGTTAAAAGACATTATAGTATAGGGAGATAACCTTATGCTTTATTTGCTCTACTACATCTTAATGAAAAATATTTAATGTAAGAAATATCACAAATAATAAATTTTTTTGGGTTTGAGCCCCAAGTTCCTCTGACCAAAAGGAGATTTCAATTTTTTGATGTACATTAAAATTTTATTTTTTAGGAGATGTCAATGTTTTGAACAATATTTATGAGTTAAAAAAAATTTCTGCAACAACGACATACGACAGATCAGTTGCAATGATAGAGCACACATTAAAAATTACAGTCGTACTACAGTAGCTGCATGAATGATCGCGAGGTTGACACACCACACACACATGCGGTGTCGGAATTATTTTATTCATGCGGGACTCAAGCCGAGCATATGAGTGCGCAGCCACCGATGAGGTTATCCTCGCGGGTCGTTTGTCATTTTCCTAAAAATTATAGCGATCATTTCCGCCCTCATTTTGAAAGTTTTAAATTACAGTTATGCCCTTCAAGTATTCTTCCCAAATATAAAAATATTAAGCCCTTATTTGGGCTCCATTTTAATGGATTTTTGAAAAAAAAAATAAAATTGAATAGTAATTTTTTTTAAAAATATGGTTAAAAAAGAAATTTTTTTTGAATTTACGTATACTATTATTCTATTGAATAATGTATGGTTAAAAAAAAAAGAGGAGAAAAATACATTTAAATTAAAATGGAGCCAAATGGGGGGGGGGGGGGTTTAATTTTTTGAAAAAAAAAATAAAATTGAATAGTAATTTTTTTTAAAAATATGGTTAAAAAAGAAATTTTTTTTGAATTTACGTATACTATTATTCTATTGAATAATGTATGGTTAAAAAAAAAAGAGGAGAAAAATACATTTAAATTAAAATGGAGCCAAATGGGGGGGGGGGGTGTTTAACTTAATACATTCGTTATCTGAACTGACAAGAATCAATATATTCAATCAAATTGGCCTCACAAAAGATGGGAATAATCTTTTTGGACAGGCCCTTGTCCAAACAGGGGTCGATGTGGCAGCCTCCTATTGGCTAGTTGTCTGGCATGTCGACCTCTGTTTGGACAAGGGCCTGTCCATATAGCACAATCCCAAAAGATGTTGGAAAAAATGAGTTTTGAGGGGAAAAAGGGTATCGATTGGGGGCAAAATTGTAACTTAAGATTTTGAAAAGAAAGAAGTTGACTATATTGTTAAGGAAAAATAATCTCACATCAATAAAATACCGAAATTTTGACCAACTTAAAAAGATCTTAGGCCACTCCTCTTAACAAAGTTGACCTTATTAAGATGGACCCCAAATCTTAATATGGTATCAGAGCTCATTAAACTCAAATGAGCTATTCGATCCGATTAAGTCTAAAAAATGAGCACACGAATTTCAAGATTGACCTGCTCAAAAAGAGTCACCATCTTGCGAGAGCATGTTAAGGGAATAAATCCCACATCGGTTAAATATCGAAATATTGATCAACTTAAATAGATCTTGGGATGCTCCTTTTAAAAATGTTGACCTTATTAAAATGGACCCCAAGTCTTAACATATATACTTATAATTTGTTCAATCTTGGGAAACCTCAAACGTTTCTTACTCTAGAGTAGTTTACATTCACACGTGATATTTAGCCTTTGTTTGAGCTCATTCTTATGTTAAAATGAATTTTGTAATAGTGATTTTTTTTTGGAGAATATATGGTTAAAAAAGAGCAAAAAGTTTATGTGTAAATTATTTTATTTGTAAAATATTTGATTAAAAATAAGTATGAGAAAAAAATGATATTGGATAACGAGATCAAACATACTCTTAATACGTTTGGAATATAATCTTGAATTATATTCTCCAACATAACATACTAATTTTGACTTTTTCCCCCCTTCATTAATCCATCTATTAATAGTATAACTTGCAAGATATATAACAAGACCATATTTTCATGTTGATATAGACAAGACTAGATAAATCCCCACATGAATATCTCACAAGTCTATCTTCCTAAAGTTCTTCTAGTCATATTCAATACATCATATTAAGTATCAAGACTTGCTATAACAAATTTGTTGTTCCTTTGCACATTCTTTCAAGGTTCAGCAAGTTCGAGACATTAAATCTGAGTACGACATATTAAATGGAGTTAATTGTTACAATGGTTATTGAACTTAGGTCCATATCTTTGACTGGTTATTGGAGTTTAAAATGTCGAGTTTTGATCACTGAATTTAGGTCAATGTCTTCGATTGCTCACTGAACTAAGATCCATTCTAAGATTGCTCATCGAAGTTTAAAATGTAGAATTTTGTCCACTGAACTTTGGAATATCTCGTACGTTACTCACTAGCATAACTGTTGAATTTTGAAAAATATCAAGTTTACAGTAAATAATGTACAATATTTTTTAAAATTCAATGAGTAATATACACTATTTTTCAAAGTTCAGTGAATAATGTACAATATTTTTCAAATTTCAGTGACCAAAACTTGACATTTTAAATTTCATTGAGCAATCAATGACATACACCTAAGTTCAGTGACCAAAACTTGACATTTTAAACTTCAGTGACCAATCAAAGACATTAACTTAAGTTCAGTGACCATTGGAATAATTAACTCTATTAAACATATACGATAACCATCGTAGACTTGCTCAAAACATATTGGAGTCGGGGTTCTTGACATTCCCTTTCTTGACTTATTTATAAGTAAAACATAAATAAATCAAACTTAAATTTATTTATTTATATATTTATTTAAGTTTTTTTTTTTTTTTGGTGAATTCTCATCATCTTTCTTTGGATAGGAAAGAAAAGTACTTTTGTTCTAGAGTGTAGTTGTTACTGTGTGTAACAACATTCGAAATTTAGGAGGTTTATACGACATGTGTCACCACCTTGATTTCGCATGTGAAATTATATTTTGTGCATCTAAACTTCCGCCAAACTTTCCCGGATAACCATACCCACTGCAAAATGCTCGCCAACCAAACATATATAAGCACGCCACTCATGCATAGATACACACATTCTCTCTCTATATCTCTCTCTCATTTTCATTAACTAAAACTCACGCTGTCCCTGAAAAAGCAACAGTCCTCCTTCACTCAAGAAATGGACGTTGAAACGCGAAAAACGCAGGGGGTATGTGTTAGCTTGAAATAGAGTTCGAGATTCCACTTGAGGTTGAAATGATTTTTTGTAGGTTGAATAAATTTTGTTGAGAAAGTAGGTTTTTTTTTTTTGGTATTTTGAATCTCTGGTACGAGAAAACACAGTATCAATCAAAATCTTGAAAACCCTTTTGAGGGTTTTTAATTGATTGGTACTGTGTGTTTTCAGACAGTCATGTAGAAAGACAGACTGAGATGTTTTTGAAATATTTTTGATTGTCGGAGAAATCGAAGGGTTTGAAAATGGCGGAAATTGAAGGGCCATTTGTAAAACAGGACCAATTCGATTCAAACCCATTGCTTGATAATAATCAAGAAAATAAGAGTTTGAAGTTGGAAACAAATCAAGAAATTTATGTGGGTTTGATTCAGGGTTCCAATTCGAATCAGTTGAATGAATTTTCTCCTTCGGATTGGAATAGTAATAAAGGCAGCATTGCTGAGAGAAGGGCTGCAAAATGTGGTTTTAATGCTCCGGAAATCAATGCGTCCCGGTTCAGCAGTGCCGCCACCACCGGATTGGTGGTGCCACCAATGGTCCGGTCACCGTGTTTCACCATACCTCCTGATATTAGCCCAGCCGCGTTGCTCGACTCTCCTGTCATGCTCCCAAATGCTCAGGTTCGAAATTCCCCATGCCAATTTGATTTCCTTGAATTAGTGGTATGTGGAAATTTCTTTATATATTATGCAATACTTGAGAATATTGAATTTTAAAATTCTGGAATTGCGAAAAAGAAAGAAAAAAAAAAGAAAAGAAAAGAAAATTTGATAGTGTATAATGAAGAACACTATTTATTGTTTGTATCAATAAGTAATCACAATACATCTAGAAGAAATATAATTTATATTATATAATAAAAAAAAATAAAAATAAAAATATATATATATATATATATATATGGCCATTTTGGATTCTGATTTCTGAGCTCTAAATGTGGAGGTGGCTGAATAAAAAATCGGATTCTCATTGTGGCCACAATCGAAATAGGTATTCTAATGGTTGGAGTCTGATTCTACACACCTATTTTCCACAACCAAGCATACGCTAAGAGCATGTTTGGTCGTGGTCTTAGACCATACTAGATAGTATAAAGTCAAAATTTTAGCTTATTTTTGTTTTTGACTATAGCCAGCAGTTGTTTAATGCACTCATTAATTCTGATGTTTAAGGAAAAATGACTACTCGATACCTACCTTACTGAGGTCAATTCATCATATTTTCTAATCATTTATTGACTCGTAATACCACTTGTTGAACATAGTGTCTATCAAATCCACTCGACCGCTTGTACCTCTATCTGACCAGAGTTTAGTTGCCTTGTTCATAATAGGAGGTGAACCAAACCACTCGCTCCCTAGTACCTGTTTCACTACAGTCGAGTTGCCTTGTTCAACAAATTTTATGTGAACAAGCATACTGACTCTTATTCTCTATCTAGCCCAGGGTCTAAATGTCTTGCTTTAAATATTTTCTAAGTGAATGAGTCCCCATGATTCCTATTACCACTACCATACTAGATTGAGTTGTCTTGTTGGTTCAACGTATTTCAAGTAAACAAGCTTACTCCATCCCTGGTGCATCTCTTGACTTAGGTCGAGACCTTTAGTCTTTCTAAGCTACATGGGATTGAGTTGCTTTATTTAGTATAGTTTATGAAGTGTTGAAAATAAGATTTAAATGATATATACGTGACCTCTCAAATAACTTTAGTTTTGAGATCAAGTGAGGCAACATAAAATCAGAGCTTGGAGTTCAAATTTCATTGTCACCCATTCTATGAAGTTGTGCATGTCTTTGGTTTTGACAAAAATATTAATTCTACCTATGCGTGCCTCGGCGTTTTGGAAAGAATATATAAATGACATACGTGTGACACTTTTGTAAGAGCTTTCATATGAAGTGGTTCAACATTAAGCATATAACCCTCTTGATCTCTACAATTCTACCTGATTAATATCAACTTATTCCATGTGAATAAGTCTAACTCGACGGTAATTATCTCCATTAGGTTGGGCTTTAGTTGCCTTGTTCAAAAATTTTCCCATGAGAACAAACCACTCTACCTTTAGTACCTCTAACTAACTATGATTCGACTTACTTGTTCATGATATGCACTTAGTAAACAAGCCTACTTGACCTCTAGTACCTCTGCCGAACTGCAATCGTGTTGTCATTTTCGTCATACCTCTGATGACCTAGTTTTCTCAAGTTGGCTTAATTGGAATTTCTGTGTTGATTATTTTTAAAACAGAAAATTGTGTTCAACGTGCTTTCATTATCCTTTTGTTTCTTGACCTGTTTTCTTCATTTCCTTCTGCAGGCTCAACTTTCTCCTACTACTGGAACCTTTCAATTTCCTCCATGCAATCTTGAGAGCTTATCAAAGTTCAACTTCAAATCCAAGGCTCAAAATGACCTCAATTTGGTGTCAAGTAGGTCGTCAGCAGGAAATAAGGTGATCTGATAGCGCAGTCATCTTTATATATATGCTTCATAATAGTCATACCAAGTTCATGGTTTAAGAAATTGCTCTTCCTTATGTCGTAGTTATCACAGTATAATGAAATAACTTGATGGAAAATAATACGAAAAAGTTGAGGAAATGAAGATGCCTCCGTAAATGTTTCCAATAATTTATCAACCCTTCTTTTTGAACAGCTATTTTTTTCACATAACCCAGGAATTATTTATTTCTCTTGAAGGATTTAATCTGCATTTATTTCACCACTTTTAATACTGCTTAAACTTTTAAGAGTTGACCTAAAAGTCCTTCACCCTATGCAGCCACCTGAGAATTTTGAAAATTCCTCACAGTTACTAGATGCTGCTAAAGGGGACTGTTCTGCAGAGGCAGCTGCTAAAACTGAAGTGTCGCGAAATAAATTCTTGGATGCCGATTGTCCTAGTTCACAGTTCAACATTACTAATGCAGAAAGTGATGATAAAGAAAGTGGCCCCAGGCTTAATCTTGAAAAGGATCCAAAATCGGCATACTTTTCTAAGGAAGTATCCAGGAATTCCGAGGATGGATACAACTGGAGGAAATATGGACAGAAACATGTGAAAGGAAGTGAATTTCCAAGGAGCTACTTTAAATGTACTAATACAAATTGTCCTGTGAAGAAAAAGGTTGAGCGCTCACACGATGGCCAAATTACGGAAATTGTGTATAAAAGCTCTCATAATCACCCAAAACCTCAGCCTTTTAGGCGATATGAATTACAAGAGACTAGCGAAGGCAGTGGATCATATTTGAGAGCTGAAGGTAGAAAAGCTTGGAGAAACATTGTGCCAGGGTGTAGGGATACGCGTTATGGCTCAGATTGGAGGCCTCATGGTTTGGACAGGATGTCTTCCACCTCACTTTTACGCGATTTTTCTTATCCACCATTGTTATCAGAACCAATGAACTTATTTGAAACAGGAGGAACTCCACAATTCCCATCTCCATTTGCCAGTCAAGATGGTGATATTGATAAAGATGAGGCCACTCTAGATAGCACATCGTTTGATGGTGACGATGATGACAATGATGAATTCGAACCTAAAAGGAGGTAATAAATGCTGTCTTTACGTTTTTAAAATAATTTTAATTGTTATATGGTAACGAGGTACAAAATTAGGAACTACCTTCCATTTCAGAAAGAAAAACAGCTTCCCAATTGAAACCACTATATCCTCAAGGTCAACACGTGAACCACGAGTAGTTGTCCAGATAGAAAGTGATATCGATATTCTGGATGATGGATATCGCTGGAGGAAGTATGGTCAAAAGGTTGTAAAAGGAAATCCAAACCCGAGGTATGTACTAGATAAAAAATTATCATCAAACATTTTAAAGACTATTCCAAGACTCGTTTTATTTACTTTTTTTGTAAGAAATTAATGACAGATATAACATGAAAACAATTAAAGTGTAACAGAAAGTAAGAAACGTAATAATCAGATCGAGGAATTATTTTTTCCTTTTTCCTTTCAAATAAAAGCAAGAACTTTATGGTCTTGAATTTTTGTACTTTGCAGGAGCTACTACAAATGCACTGCTCCCGGATGCCCAGTGAGAAAGCACATAGAACGAGCTGCTGACAATTTAAAATCTGTAATCACAACATATGAGGGCAAGCACAACCATGAAGTGCCTTCATCCAAAACTGGAAACCTTGTAATCTCTAGTGTTGCGAATTTACCACCTGCTGTCACTAACAGTAATCAATCTGCCTCGTCATCACTGTCTCAGGATTCTGGAATTTCAAAAGTTGGAATGCAGGTTCAAGATCTCCCCTTATACTTGGAAAGGAAGCCCGTCTTCAGTAATGAATGCACGAGCTCCAATTTTCTTGGAAATTTTGTCAGTGATATGAACTTTGGAGCTTCTTCCATTTACCAATTTGCATCTCCTCCGTCGCATTCCGTCCCTTATGGAACTCTTCTGATGAGCGCCAATGACTTGGTTACATACCAGTCTTCGAATATATATCCCATGGTGTCGGATTACATGCGAATGCCATTGCCCATGAATCACCTTCCTGGATCAGGAAACATCCATCTGGGCAATTTTCACTTTGGCAATCATATAGTGCCAAATGGTGTGAATATTCAGGCTTCAATTCAAAGGCATCCACTCAGAGAGTGCTATGCTAAGATTCAGAAGCCAAAAGAGGAGCAGAAGGATAATGACGATAATTTATACGAAGCTTGAGTATCCATTCCCGATCATGCAAATGCAACATCATCAACGGGATTTTCTAGGGCTATAGAAAATTTCCCATCTTGACCAACAATTTTTCTCTTGGCTCTTCCAAACCAAGTTTAGGATAGCTGCTACCCTCCAGTGATCGTTGAATGCAGCATTCTTTTGCAATTTGCTGATTAAAGTGTTTTCTGCTTCATAAGACGCATAGAACTATCTGTAAATATTTTTTCCAAAACTTCCACGCTTTTGCTGTTCTGCAGTGTGAAGTACTTAATGAAGTTTTAGTTTTATGCTCTCTCAGTGCCTGCACACATGCATCCATACACGAATATAAAATGGAGTGGAAGTCCAACATTGATATGCATACGCTGGTCGTACATAGAGGTGTCAACTACGAATGCCACACTGATTTGAGAGATCTCGCCTGACACTAGATGTTTCAAGGGCCGGACTGCATGGGTTGCTAGTAGCTCTGCCCAGTTTAACACCTCTAGTCACACTATAAAGAAGATGGTTTCAATTTCTTGTTCTAGGTGTGGAAGAAAGTTGAAGCCATGTTTCCGTCACAATATCAAATTGCAAGTATTTACATCTATATGCTATTATGCAAAGTGCATTGTACTCTATTGACCTACGGTTGACTTCTCGTTTTGATTATTCTAAACAAATTGCGTTTATTTCTAATAAATTGCATTTGAATGTTTATAGAGATTATTACAAAAACAAAACAAATGAAGACACGAAGATCGAGAGCAAGAGACGTGCAATTGACGATCAAAGAGAAAACAAAATTGGCAAATTGATGGATGTAAAACAAAAATCAAGCACTTCAGTGAAAGAACTTTGAAGAATACCGAGAAATTGAACATAGATGCTTTGAATTTATATGTAAAGGTAAAGCATTTTAATTCTTAGCATTAATCGAAAAATAACTCAAAAAGAATTTTAATGCATAAGAATAATTTACATCACTCAAATGATTGCATAAAAAATATTTTTAAAAGAAAAGGTTCACTCGATGTTCAAATTATTACAAAATCACTTTCCTCGAAAAGTTAAGTGAAAGATCATTGAAAAGCCTACATTGATCAAAATTATCATGAAGGAAAGCGTCCGGAGACATTCTGCCTATGGACGTCTGGATGATTCATGTATCTGACACGTAACGACTATTTTTGCACTGTTCAGTTCAGATCCGGACGTTCGGATGACTCTTCTGGAGCAACATAATTTTTGATGTTTTGACTATTATAAATACCACTTCACTTTTTTCATTCAAGACAACTTTTCAAGAGCATTGAAGTGAAGCAATTATTGATCTTAACTATTTTATTTTCCACTCTTCAAAAGATCATTTCATTTATTTCTTGAAAAACTTTTTGAGTGAATCAAATTATTGAAAATCACTTTACTCATAAAACTTACTTGAACTATATTCATTGCTATCTATTAAAATGTTAGCCTATTTCTCTCTTGATACTTAATTTTGATTATAAGTGAAGATATCAATTATAAAATTTACTATTATTTTAATTGTGGGTCATCTTGAAGTCCCGTAAATCTTAACATTGTAAAAGGATTGGTGCTTCTTATTTGTAATTCATTGGAAGCATTAGGAAGGTTGGATTGCATCATAAGTCAATCAACAATATAACAAATAAAATAAATAAGCTTTACGTTAAAATTTTCAGGTTGTTACAATTCTTCTTCTGAAGCTTATGGTGAAGAAGGGTAGTGATAGTTTCTACTCCATCAGTTAAGTTTGGTTTTGGCTTATTTATGATAAATTAGAAATAGATCAAATTGCGAATAGTTCTAGTTAGTTTCTACTCCAACGGTTAAAGTTTAGCTCTGGCATATTTACGATAAATTAGAATTAGATTGAATTGCGAAGAGTTCTAGTTAGTTTTTACTCCAACGATCAAGCTTAGTTTTGACATATTTATGATAAATTAGAAATAGATTGAATTGCGAAGAGTTCTAGTTAGTTTCTACTCCAACGATCAAGTTTAGTTGTGGCATATTTATGATAAATTAGAAATAGATTGAATTGCGAAGAGTTCTAGTTAGTTTCTACTCCAACGATCAAGTTTAGTTCTACCATATTTATGATATATTAGAAATATATCGAATTGCGAAGAGTTCTAGTTTGTTTCTACTCCAATGGTTAAGGTTAATTAAGCTCTAGTTAGGTTCTACTTCAACGGTCAAGTTTAGTTCTACTCCAACGGTTAAAGTTTAGCTCTGGCATATTTACGATAAATTAGAATTAGATTGAATTGTGAAGAGTTCTAGTTAGTTTTTACACCAACGATCAAGTTTAGTTTTGACATATTTATGATAAATTAGAAATAGATTGAATTGCGAAGAGTTCTAGTTAGTTTCTACTCCAACGATCAAGTTTTGTTCTACCATATTTATGATAAATTAGAAATATATCGAATTACGAAGAGTTCTAGTTTGTTTCCACTCCAATGGTTAAGTTTAATTAAGCTCTAGTTAGGTTCTACTTCAACGGTCAAGTTTAGTTCTACTCCAACGGTTAAAGTTTAGCTTTGGCATATTTACGATAAATTAGAATTAGATTGAAATGTGAAGAGTTCTAGTTAGTTTTTACTCCAACGATCAAGTTTAGTTGTCACATATTTTTGATAAATTAGAAATAGATCGAATTGCGATATGATAAATTAGAAATAGATTAAATTGCAAACAGTTCTAGTCAGCTTCTGCTCCAATGTTAGGTTTAGTTTTAGTATATTATAATAAAAAGGAATGCCCTGTGTACAGGGCATTCTTTCACAGGGGCTTTAAGGCCCCTCACTGTGTTAAGGGGCCCACCTATATTTAAAAAAATTTTATTGTGGGACCCACCTTGTGTCTTTCCTGGCAGGGGGCTTGGTTGTAACTGTAGCATCACTCTATGATAAATTATAAATGGATCAAATTGTGAAGAGTTCTAGTTAATTTCTACTCCAACGGTTAAGTTTAGTTTCAGCATTTATAAGATACGTTATAAATAGATCAAAGTGTAAAGAGTTCTAGTTTATTCTTAATCCTTCTTTTGAGCAATCCAAACTCACCGTCATAGTTCAAGTGACATAATTAGGAGTGATATTACTGGTTTTGCCAGTTAGTTTACAAAATATATGTGTAAATATATGTGTGTTTTAAGATATTGGTCACGAACACTATTCTTTAGGAACTTGTTTCGATTACATCTAAACAACTTATTAAACGATTTGTTAAAGAAAATGACACGACAACCTATATGGCATAAATGCATAGATGTGGATGCATCCCCTGTTTGATGTAGCTTACAATCAGATTTTTAGTAAAATTTGATAAAAGTTGATAAAATATGTGATTAAAGAGTTGATAAAATTGTGGTATTATAAAATGTGTTGTTAAAATTAATTGTTAATTTTAACTTTGAATTTTTATCAACATTTTAAGCTATGCAACATAGAGGCCAGAATACCTCGATTTTGAACTAAAAATTTAATGTAGTTTTTTCGAAAATATATTTTGTGAAAAGTGATTTGTTATTAGATTTTATTGTTAAAAAGTATGTAAAACCATAAGTTCATATGTAAAATTCTTTAATTAAAAAAAAAATATAGGATTGAAAATAAATTTGAATTTTTTTTTTTTTTTTAAAGAATATGTACCAAAACATGGGCTAAGTAAACCTTGCAAGTCTTTTCAATGGAAAATGACGCAGACTGTACGTTTATATTCATTTAGTGCTTGTTCGGTAGTAATTATGAGAATTGATTTTTTGATCGTTAGAGAAAAAAGTGGGTCTTACCTGTAAGAGAAGAAGCAAAAAATGATGGCTGACTTAGGAAATTAATAATCAAAAAAATTATTTTTTTGGGTGAAAAATCAGACCCAAACATACACATATTATTTCGGGAAAATTTCCTACCTAAGAAATTAATTATGGCACATTTCAAAAACAAGAAAACAAGTTTCAAATTTCTAAAATCAGATTTTTATTAAAAATTATTTATAATTTAATTAGTTAATTAATTATTTTATTAATTAAATATATTTAGGTCACGGATCTATATAATTTGGTCACAAATTAACAATATAATTAGTTACTTATTATTTTTTGGTCACAAATAAAAAATTTTATGTCACAAATTTTTTTACGATCACAATTCAAAAATTTTGTAAGTCACAGTTTGTTTATTGATCACAAATCCAAAAATAATTAGTCACGGATTAATTTTTAGTCACGACTTATCATATTATTGGTTACAACTTATTTTTCGGTCACAAACACAAATTTTATAGGTCACATATTATTTTTCGATTACGAATCAAAAATTTTATCGGTCACAGATTAATTTTCCGATCACAACTTAGTAAATTATAAGTCACAAACACAAATTTTATAGGTCACATATTATTTTTGGATCACAAATAAATTTTTTTTATAGATCACAGATTAATTTTTCGATCATAACTCAATTAATTATTAGTCACAAACACAAATTTTATAGGTCACATATTATCTTTCGATCACGAATAAAGTTTTTATAGGTCACAGATTAATTTTTCGGTCACAACTCAATAAATTATAAGTCACAAACACAAATTTTATAAGTCACATATTATTTTTCGATCACAAATAAATTTTTTTATAGGTCACAGATTAATTTTTCGATCACAACTCAATAAATTATAAGTCACAAATACAAATTTTATAAGTCACAATTTAATCAATTGGGAGTCACGGTCACATATTCAATGTCAAGTCACAATTGGGAGTCACGGTCACAATCACAATTATCACCACCATCGCCACCGCCGCACACCACCATCGCACCATACAACACCATCATCCCACCATACACTACCACCACGGCAACCGCAACCGCAACCACCACCACCACCGCACCATACACCACCATCATCCCACCATACACTACCACGACAACCGTAACCGCAACCGCAACCACCACCACCACCGCGCCACCACCATAAAACTAAAATAATCAATAGTGAACCATCGAAGTAACCAAATCAATGTAAAACAGAAATTTCGAGCTTTACAATCCACTTCAAATCAACAATCAATGTAAACCATAGATCCAAAACCACCACCACAATCGCCCAAAACCACCACCACCATTGCCTCAGTCATCATCAACCAATAATCACCAAAAAGAGAACACATCTAAACCCTAAGCAGTCGTGTATTGTCGGCAGCCCAATCACCCCAAAAAATCTTGTCGCAGCAGCCCAATCACCTCGAAAAATCTTGTCGCAGCAGCCCCGTTCGTCACAGCCGTGTGTCGCTGCTGCGTTACAAAGAGTGGAGAGAGTGATTGCAACTATTTTCTTGTCGGAGAAGTGTCGTCGAAAGGCTACTGAGGGCAGAGAATAGGCGATTGCGAGTGGAGAGGGAGGCGGGTGAGAAGAGAGGACCATCACCACAACGCCATCGCCAACACTTCCAATCGCCGCTGTTGCAGCCGTTTGTCATCGGTGATGTGCCGCCAGGGAAGGTTGCTGAGAGGTGGCGGCTGAGAGTGGGGAGGGAGCGGGTGAGAAGAGAGAGAGGGGAAAAATGGAGAGAGAATAATTATTTAGGGTTTGTAATAAAATTTGTATTATAATATTTAATATTTAAACACAAAACATTTGATTTTTGAAATATCAAATTTTCAATCTGATTTTAGAAGGTGGAATATTTAAAGTATGGTTTTGTATAATTTCCACTATTATTTCCTGAGTTTCGGTGTTTATGCAGTTTAATGATCAAAACTAGCACTAAAATAATGTGGTCATAGAATTTCTGCATGCTATTCATTGGTAGGGCATTTCTTCCCGTGACCGCTTTTCCTACCAAAAAGCTAGCCTGGAATACTCGGAGAGAAAAGGGAATGATCCCAAAAGGGAAGTCTTTCTTTATGAAATCGCTTAGATTGAAAAGTAGGTCGATGATGGTTACCTTGTTGATTTACAATTCACATAATTTTGATTAAAAAAAAATTATGCATACCAATTGGAAATGTAGGGCATATGTCTGATGTAAATTTTTAAGAATAAATTCTGTAAAAGTGATTTTTACCAAAAAAAAGAAAAAAGGGGGGAAAAATATGAATCTATTTTTAAAAAAAAAAATTATTTTATTGGAAAATATGGTTAAAATGAGTTTTGAAGAATATGTACCGAATAAGGATATAATGTTATTTTTATCAATTTAAAAGACATAGGAACTGAATTGGCATAAATTCGAGTTGTGTTATTAACTGTTGCGCTTTTATGCAAATTTCAGGACTAGATTTGATGTACACGTTATAGGAGAAAAAAGGTTGAGCGAGAAGTTAAAGCTAGTGTAACAAGAAGTAAATGTTGAGAAAGAATCGTATAACCTACCCAATTATGTTACTATCCTTATTTTTTTTAATATTAATTGATTGATAGTTAAAGATATTGCTATAGCACTTGTAAAAGTTGCATATATTCTAGCACTCTCTGATTTGACTAACGAGAACATTTTTTTTACCTCTATCCTTACCTATTTTTTCAGGCATCGAAAATGGAAGAGATACTTGGGGAGGACGGCAGCTCCTCATTGAACGAGAACAAAAATTTATACACTTGTAAAAGTTGCTATATGCTTAACACATGCAATTCGCACTGCTTATTTCTTTGAAAATGGGACACAAAAGCCAAAGGAACCTAGCACCAATATTGGCTATGTTCAATTTTGAATGTTATGCTACGAAATAAAAGAGACGACTTAATGTTTAAAATTTCTCTCAAATAATACTAAATTGCACTTTGAGTTCGTCGTAGCTTTTACGAAACTAGTTGGGGCAAGCGAGTTGCTCTAAAAAGATACATTTAACAGTATAGATATAATTAATTTGGTTATATAACTTATGATATTTATTAACTTTTTAATGTTATTGAATCAGGGGACCAGGGTATCAACATGTGGAGGGTTATGGAGTAAAATCTACTTAAAGTGGCAAGTATCAAGGAAATGAAGCAACCTCTAAATAAATGAATTCCAAAATTAAAATACATATTGAATGACTAAGTTTAAAATAAATAAGTTATTAATTTTTAATAAAACTGTTTTTTAGTTCAATTCACTTTCTATTATGTTGGGAACGGAGAGGCAAGTATGAGACAACATGAATTATTGACTACACAAGCAAGAACAAGATTAAAGTCATAAGAGACTGTCATAAAAATCGAGTAATTTTATTAATTGACAACCAATTGAGAGAAAATACAATTTCAGCAATGCGTAAACTGAAAGAAGAGTTAAATATATAGGGACAATCCAAACCCTAGAAGTAGAGTTGTCGATTAATAGAATGTTCAATGGTTTCCTTATCTTGATCTTTTTAAGTTTAACAAAAATTTCAACTCCCAATAGGGCTTTCAAATAAAACTCCAACTAGAATTTGCTAATAGGCTTCGAATAGTATTCCAAAAGCATTACAAATAGAAATCTCCTTAATGTACGCTTTAATTAGCTCTCATTTCTCTTCATCGACGAATTTGAGTCACACCAAAATTCTAAGAATTTCCAGGTTAACAAAAATTTTGGTGCAACGAACGAAACTCCAAAATTTCTTCACCTGAAAAAATAAATTTGACCGCAACGAAATAAACTAAACTTTTCAACTAGAACCAAACTTCTTCACCTCACGAAAATTACTCTTACTCTTCCACAGTATCCGCAAATGATACCCGAACCGAAATATCGGGTTCCCAAAATTCCCACAAGGAATTCAAAAATTAACAAACGGTGTAGAAGCACACCCTGTAATAGAATCAACTTAAATACTTTAATTGAAGGCCCTTGATAATCTCAACACCTTCAAAACCTCAAAAAGCATACGCAACTAAATCAGCATCATCGTACCTATCCTCATTAAGCCCTTCCTTGGCAGTAGAACAAAGTGACACTGCAAATAATGGTGGCAAAGTGGAGTTACCCATATCATCCTAACAGAGTAGTGTTCTTCAATAATGACCCAGAGCCAACTCCCTAAGGTACAGTACCAAATTGTATATCCACCATGGTACTAAACATGTGGTGATGATTCTTTACCAATTCTGCACGACTTTGCAAGATGTATAACCGGGAGCTCCTCCGCCCCTCCAATATAACACAACCCTTTCGGGCCTTCAGGATTCCACCTGCTCTAGTGAATGTGTACTTTTTCGGTTCAAGAGTACTTAACAAAATGAAATTCTTCTTTAAATTTCGACTATGTCGAACGTGATCAAGTGTTTTACATGTTCCATCTAACAACCTCAATTGGACTCTATCAATATAGCTACTCGATAAAGTTCATTGTTACACATGGTAACGACACCTTACATCACCGTTTCATATGTTTCAAACAAATCTCGGTTTGGACACATATGGAACGTACAATCTAAGTCCAAAATCCACTCGTCAGGTTTTGATTCCATGTCATAAATCGTCAAGACATCTCCATCACTCAAATAGTCCTCAACTATGTTGGTCTAGTCCGAAGTGTTTGATTGCTTCTCGTGATTTGTAGCCGAAATACCTTTTATTCTCCAATTTTTTGCAATCTCTTTTAATGTGTCCTTTCTTCTTGAAATAATAGTAAACTTGATTGTTGATACTTGACCTCGACTTACCCCTTCGCCAATCGCCAATTTCCATTTAATGGTGTTATGAAAATATTTATAAATTAATCCATCTCTTTTAAGCACATTAAAGATCTTTAAGCTTTATTCGTTGTCGCATTTTGGTTGCTAACATTTTTATCTCATACTTATCATTAATTAGAATATTTTGTGTTAATTATGATTTCCCCAAAAAGTTCTATTTGCGAACTTATAAAGGAGGGACAAATATTTCTCATAATTTTGTAGTTTATATATATTTATACTCTTTAACGGACTTTTTGGACAAAAAAAAAAAAAAAAAAAAAACAAAAGAATGTACTAATATGTGGAAGGTTGATGATAAAAATGATAAAATGAAATTTCAAAAAGTTAGAAACATAAATGTAATAATGAACAAGGGTTATAAACATTTCATGCAATTAAAATTTGTTGCACTGGTAATTTTTATATCGAGGAGTTGACAAAAATCAGTCAAGTTGGAGCATCAACCAGTTCCAATTATATCTAATTAAATGTAAAAAATATGGTACCCATTTAATTATTGTTCTTATTAGATATTTTCATCTATCTAGACCGATATTTTACTATGGTGTTAGATAGCATTATTCTTTTAAAAAGCATACATTATTCTTTTCTAGATTCTCTTTAATCAAACCAAAATGAAAAATGCAAAAAGATGATTCTTGATGAGAAATCTTGACAGCACTAAAAGTCCCTCGTGAAACGCTCGAATGATTTGATATCAGTTATTCCTATTTATCTTTATATGAGTAGTGGATTCCCATAACAAGAGGGACAACAAAAATGAAGGTCTTGCCTTTCTTTATATCTATTTATCCTCACATAGAAAGTGGATTCTCATAACGAGAGATACATCATGCCTTTCTTTATCCCTGTTTATCCTTTTATACATAAAGTTTATTCTTATGATGAGAGAGACAAGGGAATGCAAGTCGTGGATAAAGCATAATATTCACACATTCGCCATTGGTACATGCATTTCCATATCCTTATATATACATGATATTATGACAAAGAGGGATTCATAGAGTGAGAGAGATAAGGGAGAAGTAGAGGCGTTGATACAAAGCACAATGGTATGTATTATATATTCTTTCTTGTATTGAACTTTGAACACATTTACTTGTACAATTTTTTTGACAGTTTCTTTGACAGATGCTGAAGTGGCATGCACCTTAGCGCTTGGTTTGAACTTCATAAATTCAACAATTATGCTACACGTATATCTTTTTTCACATCATTTTTGACATTGTGCCACTGTTAAGGGAATATAATCCCACATCGGTAAAATACCGAAATAATGACCAATATAAAAGATTGGGACACTCCTCTTAACAAGGTTGACCTTATTAAGATGGACCCCAAGTCTTAACATGGTATCAGAGCCCATTAAGCTCCAACAAGCGATTCGATCCGATTAAGTCTCTAAAAATGAGCACATGGATTTCAAGATTGGTCTGCTCAAACGAGCCACCATCTTACGGGGGCATGTTAAGGAAATATAATCCCACATCGGTAAAATACCGAAATAATGACCAATATATAAAAGATTGGGACACTCCTCTTAACAAGGTTGACCTTATTAAGATGGACCTCAAGTCTTAACAGCCACGTAGCGACACATGGTTGGACAGTTTAGAAACACAGTTTCTTGCCCAACGCTTTTTGAATTCCTACGAAGCATACACAGACATCTAAACTAAAGGATGTCCACTTGGCATTAATTTAAATTCAAAATAAAGGGCTGAGGTGCATGCCCTCTCAGCATCCATCAAACATTCTGTCTGTACAAGTAACTTAATTCTTGAACTTTTAAGTTTGTATCTAATTCGTGTGGTTATAATTAAAACTAAAAACATTATTTCTATTTAATTAAAAAATATAGAGACATTTGTTCTTACAACTGACGATGGATTTTGTGTAGAGCAAGAGCAAGTGGATACCAACACAGTAGCTTATTATTCATAAAGAGAAAGAAGGGTGGTTATCGACTTATCCTCCAGGCTGCACAATATTTTCTCTCTCTCTCCCTCTCTCTCAATATGATGATCATTACTTTTCCTTTATCTAATTAAGTAAATAAGGTTATCCCATCTCTAACAATATAGATGAGGTGGTTTATCTACATGTACAAAGGCTTATTCATACAATGATAAACAATCTGTAAATTTCATTGAAGATGATGATGAGCAATTTATATGTTGGTTGCATATATGTGTAGCACTGTGGTGGTCGAGCTTCGAAATACGACTTTGCTGGATATTGGTGGGAAGATAGATGCAAAAAACTTGGTTAAAAATACACGTTATAATGCCTATCTTGTGTTCAAGCTCAAAGAAGGGTCGAAGGGCCTAGAGCGAGCCAAAGCAATAGTTAGGTTTGCTGAGGACATAGCTCCAGGAATGGATCATCAGGCTACCGATGTATTCCTCGTCAATAAAACAGGAGCTGATGTTGGACACGTTCCACGACCTCTGAACTATGGGTGGAAGGAGATTAAACTTGGAGATTTCACCCATGGCGAGAAAGATAAAGGTCAGGTAGAAATGCAACTCTTTGAGAAGGAGGAATGCAATCCGAAGCCTGGTCTTATCGTCAAAGGAATTGAAGTTCGTCCGAATTGAATAGAACAAGTATTTGTCCTAATAAGATGCTCTACTATCATAACTAAACCTGACAAGTGCTATTTCACATGTGTTTTTCCATGGTTTTCTCGTTGGTAAAAAACTTGTTTAGGTACTGAACTAATATGATAGCTTCTGTTTATTCATCGATCTTTTGCATTCTCTTTCGGAGTTTTGGGTGCCCATTACGGGGACTTTTTTAAAAGGCAATTAGAACAAAATGTTAATACCTTTCAATATTATCGTGCAAAAACGTTCATACCGTTCATTTTTTGTCATTTTCACAATTATTTGTACTTTTCATTGCGAAAATCATCATTTTCACCTACTTTCTCAATTAAAAAACATGAAATGACGAATATAACCTCTTATCTAAATAAGCCCACGTTTGAATCCATTGAAAATCCCTTACTTTACGCAGCAAATTTTTTAGCACAGTAAAATCATTAATTAACATTTGAAAAAGCAACTGACTGGTTGAAAAAAGTCAAACATCCGCCTATTTAAAATACTAATTTCCCTCTTTGACCCTCTTTGCCTTAGTTTGTCATTGAAAATTCCTTATGTTAGGGGCAAAATTGGAAGGTATATATCATAACATTAAAAAACAATTCTTTTTGTCTTAAATGAATTCATTGAAACGCGGATTTTACTATTGCAGAAAATAAATTTGAGTAAAATAAAGGCCGTCAAACAGCCGCTAAAAGAAAAGAAAAAAAAATAGAAAACGAATTGCAACTATAGTCTCATATTTTCAAAAAATTACAAATGGGTCACAGATATATAATTAAATATAAAAACAAAAAAAAACTTACTTCATCTTCTTCCTCCTTTATGCTAAATAGATGACATTGCAAGGCACATGAGGATAAGAAAAATTCAATAGAAATCACGAGGCACACAAATATAAGCAAAACTTTACACAAAATTAGGCCGTTCTTTAACCAGTTTGAATAGTTAATTAGCATAATTATGGAACTTAAGACAAAGAAATCATCTTTTGATGGTTCATTTTCACATGAAGACACCAATTTCTGAAATCGATATACAGAAGCACAAATCTAGCACCATAAGCAAATGGAAAGGGGGGGCCGTTTCGAGCCCAAAAATATTCCCGAAATTGAAAATCATAGAGAGTTATCTCAAACTACAAAAAAAAATCAATAATAACCAACTGAGACAAACCCACTTCGATTCTCACAACAGAATCAAAATTAAAACAGGAAAATCAAGACTTGCACTCAAAAACAAAAAGGGAAAAGAGAGAAAGTGGATAAAAGTGCCTCAATAATTAGTAGACGTCGAGTTTTGAAAAAACAAACAAAAACACAATTTTTGGAATCTCTAAAAGCAATTTTCTTTTTACGAAATCAAGCTTTATTCTTATTTATTTTTTCTTTTTGAGCTATATTTTTATGTGAAGGATATTTTTTCTCTTTTTCATGACTGCTTGGGCCTGCTTGAGAGTTCTGGGCACCGATTACATGGTTTTTTAAAGGGTAATCACATGTGATGACGTGGATAACGGTGGAGAAAGGAGGAAGAAGATGAAGTGATTTTTTTAATTATATATTGATGACTTATTCATAATTTTTTGAAATTTTGGAATCATTGTTGTAATTAGTTTTTATTCTTTTCTTTTCTTTTTGTTTTATTTAAATAGGAGGGTATCAAGACTGGCTCTAAGCCAAGGCCAACTAGGCAATGGCTTAGGGCCTCACATCTAATGGGGGCCTCCAAATGAAGACCATGATGAAAGCCCTATTAGATTAGTATAAATTTAAAAGATGGATTAATTAAAATTTCATTTGGTTGATTCTAACTTAGTTCGATCTTATTCAAAATAAAATTTTCTCGAATTTAATATACGTAGTTAATTACAAGCTATCAAATGAGTCTAATATTATTATGGTAATATGACTTAATTTAAAAAGCAATATTACACGTTCAGTAGTTTACTTTAATAAGTTATAATTTGAATTTGATTTATCCAAAATAAAATTTTTTCATGAGTCCATAATACGATTTATCGAAAATAACTTGAATTCGCTATTTTATCTTTTGAATCGTACCAAGTACTTGTTTAAAATATAAATATATGATTTATTTAAATTTTAAGTATTTTTACGCATGGAAGATTTTTTTACATTCCAAGGCCACATACTAATGAGTCGCTTAGAGTCTCAAAATTCTCAGGATCGGCCCTGGAGGGTATGTTCATCATTTCATAGTTTTTAATTGAGACAATAGATGAAAATGGTGATTTTAACAAAGAAAGATGGAAATAATGGTGAAAATGCCAAAAAAATAGAAGGTACAGACGTCGTGCATAGTAATATTTAAAGGTAGGGACGTTTTGTGCTAGTCATCCCTTTTTTAAACTACTGATTTCTTTTGCGTATGAGGAATCTAATTTTGGTTGATTTTTAAAACATTCTACCTTATGTCTGAAAGTACTTATTATCCAATGATTTTAATATATATATATATATATATATATATATATATATGCCTAAAAGTGATTTTTTATATGTAAGTTAATTCTTAACTTAAAAGTGAAATATTTATATTATACTTCTAAATATTTTTTGATACATAAGTAAATTTTTTATTTATAAGTAACATTATATATTTTAAAGAGAATTTTATCTTATTAATAGTATTTTTTACTTTCTAAGTTTTTCAATGCAAAATTGAATATTTATCTTGTCAGTAATTTTTCACTTATGAGTAAATTTTTAATGACAAGGCAATTTTTTAGTTTTTGCATTTTTATTTACAAGTTATTTTAAACAAAATATGTGGACTGAGAATAATTATTTTATAGATAGTAAAATTGGAGGAAAATTTGAATAACCATTTTGGCATCCAACTCTAATTTACTTGAAAGTCATCGACAATTTAAACACTAACGTTGATTTCCCACATGGGGACACAATCTCCCAGTACTACATAAGTTGAAAATCAAAACCTAACGTTTGAAGATTGTAGAGTCACTTTTCACACTACTTGAGAAGTTGGGGAGCTCATCCCAAATTCCCCCTCACCCCAAAATGGAAAATTGAGGATGATATACCCAACCTTTCACATGGTTATGGATCTTATCCATTTGAATATGTGATTTTGGTTCCCTACGTGATCAGAATCATCAATATTAACTTCGGAATTATAATTGACTTTCTTCGACTTAAAATTGGAGGACAAAATTGTCAAATTACTTAATATTTCTCTGCAAATCAACCGAAAATTTCGTGCGATTTTTACTTTCAAATTAACGATTTTCATCATGTGAGACTCCATATTTGCATGGTTAAAATTAAGTAATTGTTGATAAAAAAATATTTTCAAGATATTATAGTTTAGCCTTAAAAGTCCAAAAAGTGAGTAAAAGAAGTGAACTACAGGGAAATTTCAAGGTAACAACCAATCTCATAAGGGATGGTTTATGTACTTTTATAATTTTTTTTTAGCTTAAAAAGGAAACTTAAAATGGAAAAATGGGAGTCAGTGATTCTTTTTCCAAAAGAAATATGGAATGTTGTCTATGTGTGTGTGTGTGCCTATATATATATATATAGAAGTTTCTTAAAATAGGATTTTTAAAAAAAAAAAAAAAATTTAGAATGGTCCGAAATATTGCCTTTTGTCTTACTGATTAGAATAACGCGCAATCAAAAGGCTTCCAGACGAGGAGGGGGTCACAAGTGGACTGTTTAAATCTCAAACTCTTCTTAGACAGTTTAGATCTTTTTGAAAAAGCTCTTCAACCTTGCGAATACTCAAATCAAGAAAACTCGAACAATAAGTGGAAAATAGACATTTCCTAATTTCTTTAAAAATTAAATCAGTTATAATTAATATTTTATTTAAAGGTCTACAGGAAGGTAGACCTGTGCTCTAATGCCGTACTGTAACGCCTCAAATTTTATTGACTTAAATTTTGAGATGTTACCGATATTATTTTATAATCATACATCAAGTTAAAGTATAAATTTAAAATTTAAAATTCTTAATTCATTTAAATACTCAAATACTAAATTAAATAAAAGTATAAATTTATATTTTTAACTAAAGCTGATGGGTATGAAAGAAGAAGTTGGCGTTGACAAGTGATATAAATAGGCATACAGTCTCCTAGTGAAAAAGAAATTAATAATCTTTTAGCATGCTGATTAAATTGATCAAAAAAATTGGTGATAAGCCTAAATATAATGAAATTGGGTTTGGCCACGTATAATAACATTAGGAATTAAACAATAGAGTTTAGACTAAGTATAACTAAGATTTAAAATCCTTCCTTATCTCAATTGTCGCCACCTGTTTAACCAAAGAGAATAATTCCTTTAAAATATTTCATTTAATCATAACTTTCTTTGATCCGCCATAACTTGATTCGCTTTTATCTAAATTAAATTTTTATCAAGCCTAACATACATAATTAAATACTAACTACCCAAAGATCCCAATATTGATATACTAAACCTCACTCTATAAAAATCTAATTTTTGACCCAATTAAAATATAAATTTAAAAACCTATTTAATCTTGGTCCTCATTTTTTTAAATATAACAATATAGCAAATTATAT